TGAGATTGGCATTTATATGTGTAGTATTAGGTGGACCACATTACCACAACCCATGGGTAGCATTAGTTAGCCAAACAGTGATCACCATTGCTGTAAGAGAAACCACTCCTTCTGAGACAGGCCATGCAGCTATTGGAAATAACCCTTGATTATGTAGAAAAGGACTTGCGTTCTCCACACAAAATGAAAGACGATTCCATTTCTAACCTTTGAAGACATCAGGGACCCTCATATCACACTGGTACCCACTCCTTAAAGAGCCTTCTGAGTCCTCATTCTCAACAGATAACAGGTCCAGCAGTGTCCGTCCCTGGGGTGAAGAACAACCAGAACCATGTCACCCCAGGTGCACAGTGCAGGTGAACAGCACAATATCGGCTCAGCGAGCCATGCCAGGCCTGTTGACCCACTCTGCCCATTCAGCCTCGAGATGTGTGTTCTGCTCCTGGTCTGTGCTCTTCTGACTAAAGCTGTCCTCCCTTGGCTCACCTTGATCACTCAAAATGACACCTGTCGTTCCTGGATTTGGAAGGCCACCTTCCTACTCACCCCTTTCTTAAATACAGTTAGATCCCATGGCAGTTGGAAGGTTTTCCCAGGGCTGTTGTTTCATTGATGTTTTCTGTTACTATTTTCCATTTCTTTGTTGAGATTTTTTTATCTCCTCATTCCCTGCAAACCTATTTTTACCGAAGACCTTACAATGATTCCTTAGATAACTTTGGGAAGGAAATTTTATTAAAAAATTTTAATCACATTGCATTTCCACTACAAACAAGGAATATCACTTATTTAAGGTTTTTTTATAATGACTCTTGCATTATTTTATTATTTCAGTTTAAGACGTCCCATTTTTAATATTTTACCCTTAATATGTTATATTGAAGTTTTATAAATTGTATTCTTTTATTTCAAAATATATGATGCTTTATTGCTGATATAAGAGAATGTTCCATTGTGAATAGTGTATTGTATCCAACGCCTAGATTGGGCTCTGGACCAGAAGCATCTCTGAGTCACTCCTAGACTCTGAGCTGCATGGCCTGAACCAGTCTCTTTTGGTCTTGTCCAAAGTCTCCATTCAGAGAACTTTTTGTCTCTGAGCAAGGATTCTGCCTTGAAAACCAGAAACGAAATAAAAGGTATGAGCATGAATCAATATAAAAGTGGAATTGAAGAAAATAAAGTCACATTTTCAGATCTAATTGTCTGAAAAAAAAATTAGGTGCTGGTTGAAAATCTAAAATATAAGTCACCCAGTGAGATAAACTTTATTAGAGCCACCAGCAGAAGTGACTACACCAGGCCAGGAGATCAGAGAAGAGGTTTGTGTAACCTCCCAGTGGGTCTGGAGTACTGTGTGAGTCTTGGAGCTGCTGTGCCACGTACAACAGTAATAGCCTCATCCTCAGGCTTCAGTCCAGGGATGTGCAGAATCCCTGCATTGGCCCATGTATCATTGGATGCAGAGAAATGAATGGGAACCCCAGGGTCCTGAGTGATATCTGAGTCTGAGTAGCATCTCAGGAGACACCTGGGAGGGCTGCCCGGCTTCAGCTGACCACTACATTGCAAAGTTACCAACTCTGAAGCCACTGCTCAGGATGCAGGTAAGTCTGGCTCATGCTCCCGGTGATGCAGAGAGTGAAGTCATCTGAGTCAGCAAAGGCTGGGAGAGGGAACCTGCAAGCACAGACACTCGTGGGGGCTGGGGCAGGAACCAGAGATACGTGTCTTGGGGATCTGAACCAGAGGAGCTGACACAAGCTAAGGAGCTAACCCGAGACACCTAAAACCAGTTCTCACCTGAGCAATGACAGAGGAACATGAGGAGCGGAGGGGTCCAGGCCATGGTGGACACCACCTCCTGTGGCCCCAGACAGGGAGCTGCTTGGCTCAGGCCTCTTTTATCTCCTCCAGGGGCCTGAAAGGGGAGGATCTGTCCACACAAATTTGTGTATCCTCCTGGTAATCTTTGTTCCACCCTAGGAAGAGCTGAAGTCTGAGCACGATTCTTTAGACTTGGTGGGCTGGTGGATGAGACTCAGGGTTTGTCCCATGGGAGGGGTAAGTGAGGAAGCAGCTCGTGTACCTTCCACAGACCTGTGAGTAGGAGACTCTACCCAGCCCAGAGAACACACAGCTGTGATATCTTCCTCAGTGAGTGCAGGCTCCATTGCCCAGGGATAACAGATATGCAGGCACCACTGTTCAGAGCTTGGAAAGACCCAGATTGCCCCCTGCTGCACAATTCAGTCTTTCAATCAGAATCATGTGAGTGGAGTTGGCCTGAGTGCTGGCTCCCTGTCAGGCCGCAGCATCCATGGACCACACCCCTGCTCTGTCTCAGACAACTTATATTCATAACCATCCTTTTTGATTAAGGGATTTCTAGACTAACAGGAAACAGGAGAAATGAAAAACATGACAACTGTTCATTGTGAGGAGGCTGCAGTGAGGGGAAAATGCAGAGGGCTCTGGGAGCAAAGACCTGAGCAGCTCCTTCCACAGGGGCCAGGGAAGAAGGCAACTGTGACCTGGCTCTGAGTGGAGAGTGGGGTCCTGCTTGGGGACAAACAAAGCAAACAGTATTTCTAGATGTAATGCATCTTCTAGAAAATATAGTGATATGTACAAACATTGAGAAATAGTGTGAGGTGCTGGGGAACGGCAGAACTTCTCACAGTCCTAGATCTCTCATCTGTTGGCTGATTTTGTGGGCAAGACACACTATGTATCTCTATTTTGTCGCTTTTTCTGCTGCAGATGACCTTTCCCTGCCAGCCCAGCGCAGTGAACAGATAAGTCAGAAGAGTCTGGGAGCAGGACCCTGAAAGACGGATGTGATGTCGACTTTCATGGTGCTTAAAAAAATGTGTCTTCTCATTCCAAAAATATTTATGAAAAGATCGGCACAGGCCAGCAGAGAACCACGCATAGGGATATAAAAGGTGAAACCATAAAGGTCACTGTGGGTAAGTCAGGGACAGAGAGAACAGGTGGGAGGATGGAAAAAGAGAGGAGAGGTCCCTACTGATGACAACGGCATCTGTCGTGGAGAATGTGAAATTAACTTAATTAGCTCTCCTTAGTGCCCTGGCCATCCACGTGCGGACTGACTGATGTTTTTGAGGTAGGACTTCCTACCAGTTCAGGCTCTCTCTTTCTTCCTCTTCCTTTGCTGCCCAGGTGAAGGGATTTTCCAAGGCCACGTTCGCTGAGGAGCTCAAAAGTGTTACTCTTTCTAGTTTGATCATTTTCCGTTGAAGGCCAAGACTTCTCTCTCGTCCTCATAGGGTGAAACAGAAGAGCGGAGGGGACTGTTTACATGCTTCTACCATTGATACATGCAGGCAGACGAGCACCAAAGACAATAAAGAAAATTATGCCCCTCAACTTGAGGAATTCAATTTTGAACAATCAAGATTAGAAAGTGGCCCATGTGCTTTGATTCATTTGTATTTAAATATTGACTCTAGGAAGATGGATAAGACATAGCATATACAGAATTCCTGTAGGGTATTAACAATGAAGTCATGGAGTATAAGGAAAAGACCAGGCCCAGAAGGCAATCCACTGGAATCAGAAACGGAGAGGTGTCTGTCACCGTCCCATCACATCTCACTGAAAGCAGACCTCCAGGCCTAATTCCACCCACTCTGCCACCTCCATTCCCCTCTCTTGATGCATCCAGTATCAGTTACTTCACCTCAAATACTACAAAACTTAGCAACTTAAAACTGCAAAGATGTGCAATCCTACAATTTCTGTGGGTCAGAAACCTGGGAACCGTCTAGCAAGGTGGCTCTGGCTCCGATAGGCTCATGAGGTTGAAAATAGGATTTCAGTGGGGGCTATAGCCATAGGAAGGTTTTACCAGGGAATAGAATCAACTTACACATTCACTGAGCCACAAAGCTGGTAGTAGGAGGCCTCAGCTTCTTGCTGCATGAACCTCCTCGTGGGACTACTTGAGTGTCCTCACAACTGGCAACTGGCTTTCCCCAGAGCAAGCGATCTGAGAGAGCAGAACGCAAAACTCAAAGTGTATTATGGCCTGGCATCAGTCGTTTTCTCAATATCCTATCAATTGCACTAGTGATCCCTTTTCAATATGTACAGGGATGTGAGTACTAGGAGACAGAGATATTTAGGTATAACTTGAAGTCCAGCTGCCACACATGGTAAATTCTTAGAAAACACAACTCTGAGGTCACAAATGCCTCAGAATGACACAGAGTGAAGCAAACGCTATATGTCAGCAAGATCATTGAATTCCCACCTGTCCCCATAGAATAGGGACCTTGTGTGCAGAATCTTCGGGATCCTTTTCAGTCTGCATGTCCAGATATCATTTTTCCTTTTATCATTATCATTTCAGTGGACATAGACATGATGTATTAGAGTTGACTTTAAAGGTATCATGATTCACAGGATATTTAAGATAGTCCATATAAATATTCTTATCGAATGGGCCACTTCTACCCTTGAACTCCTTGCAAAGGGTAATGAGCCAATAGCTGCCTCCTGTGACTAACGGGATGGAATGGAAGTGCAGTGAGGGGTGTCAGCCCTGGCTTTGCAGGGTACAGCCAAGTAGGAGGCAGTACAAACCATCACTTGTATGTGTGACCCACAGGTACAACCAGAGAGAACCCAGCTAGTGGGGAGGCATTGTCCTCCTGCCTGGGCTCCACAGTGGGTGGGTGAAGAGTTAACAGGCGATGCTCTGTGAAAAGACACAGGGGTGCCTGAGTTGATGGACACCATAGCAGTGATTTAACTGTGAGCCTCATCTGCTGGAAGATGTAGCCCTGGGTGAGCACCTTGCACTCTACAGCTCATGGCAAAGATGCCAAATCCAATGCATCATTTGAACCTCACCACAAGTGAAGGAGGGCATGAGCAATCTTTGTGGAAAGTGGAGTGAAATGAAGCTCTCTGAAGTTAGAAGCCAGCCGTGAACATCACAGAGCTAAGCTGTGCTAGGTTCTGTCTTCCTCCAACCCATATGTATGCTTCAGGTGAGCAAGCATCACCAGTTTACTCTCTAGAAACATTAGTGGGAGGAGTGGATGCTTGGATGCTTACACAGGACAAGGCCCTCTGACTTCTCTACCTGTCTTGTGGAGGGTCCAGACCCATATTCTAGACAAGGAAGGAAGCAGATGGAAAGCAGTAAATGAGGAATTACTTTTAGGGTCTCCCAGAAAAGAGGCAATGAGCAAGTAATTGGCAAAATATGCTAATAATCTCCTAAATTATCATGCCCTAGTTTCTTTCCATTTAAGACTTCCTCCCTTACTTCACATTTTTCATCACAAAATTTTACTGTAAGCAGCAAGAATGAATGAGGTGACACTTTTAATACTTTGCTTGGAAATATTCTCAGCTAAATATCCAAGTTTGCTGCTTACCTGTTCTGTTTTCCATACAATTACACGATACAATCCAGTCGATCTGTTTGCCACCAAATAACAATGATCCCTTTTCCTCCAATTTTCCCACAGAAGTGTGCTCTTAATTCCCTGTGAACTCCCATCAGTGTACCAGGAGCTCCTTTACTGGCTGTATTTCTTTTCTTTACTTTTGTGGGTTTTTTTGTTTTTGTTTTTTTGGGGTTTTTTTGGGTTTTTTTTTTAGATGGAGTCTCCCTCTGTCACCAGGCTAGAGTGCAATGGCATGATCTGGGCTCACTGCAGCCTCCACCTCCCAGGTTCAAGAGATTCCCCTGCCTCAGTCTCCTGCGTAGCTTGGACTACAGGCATGCACCACTATGCCTGGCTAATTTTTTTGTATTTTGGTAGAGACAGGGTTTCACCATGTAGCCCAGGATGGTCTGGATCTCCTGACCTCATGATCTGCCCTCCTTGGCCTCCTAAAGTACTGGTACTGGCTGTATTTCTACTTCCAGTCTGTGTCTGTAGAATTAGGTGTTCGCTAAGAAAAATGTAACTAGACCAGGCACGGTGGCTCACGCCTGTAATCCCAGCACTTTGGGAGGCTGAGGCAGGCAGATCACTTGAGGTGAGGAGTTCGAGACCAGCCTGGACAACATGGTGAAACCCCGTCTCTCCTAAAAATATGAACCTTAGCCAGGCATGGTGGCACACACCTGTAGTCCCAGCTACTCGGGAGGCTGAGGCACAAAAATCTCTTGAAACCAGGAGGCGGAGGCTGCAGTGAGCCAGGATTGAACCACTGCAATCCAGCCTGAGCAGCAGAGCAAGATGCTGTTACAAAAGACAGAAAAAAGAAAGAAAGAAAGAGAAAGAAAGAAAGAAAGAAAGAAAGAAAGAAAGAAAGAAAGAAAGAAAAAGAAAAGAGAAAATGTAGCTTTTCTCTACCATGCTTCTGACTTCCCACTGAGCCCATCCCAGCCAAGTCTTTAGCATCCACATTTCTACTAACACCATGTTCAAAGCAATCTAGGATTTTTCTATCACACTTTCCAAAATTCTGCCAACCTCTATATCTTGTCTGCTTCCAAAACTATTTCCATATTTTAAGTATTTTTTTTAACAGCAACACTCCTCTTCCATTCTTTTCCACATATTTTTCTGTTCTTGTTGTGACAAATTACTACAAACCGAGTGGCTTGGTAGGTGAATGTATATTTAGTGAGACAGGGAGGAGAAAATGGGGTGATATCTGGGGTTGGATATTCTAGGACAGAAGATATGGGTTGATTATTACCTGAGAACTAGGCACTTTGTCCTCTACAGATTTGGAGCTATTAATGTCTAGATCTAGATCTATCAGTAAAAATAGATACTTATTTCCACCAGGCGCGGTGGCTCATGCCTGTAATCCCAGCACTTTGGGAGGCCGAGGTGGGTGGATCACAAGGTCAGGAGATCGAGACCATCCTGGCTAACACAGTGAAACCTGTCTCTACTAAAATACAAAAAAAAAAAAAAAAAAAAAAAAAAGCCAGCGTGGTGGTGGGCCCTGTAGTCCAGTTACTCCAGGGAGGCTGAGGCAGGAGAATTGGTGTGAACCTGGGAGGCAAGAGCTTGCAGTGAGCCGAAATCGCGCACTGCACTCCAGCTGGATACAGAGGCGAGACTCCTGTCTCAAAAAAAAAAAAAAAAAAAGAAAGAAAGAAAGAAGAGAACTGATACTTTTTAATAAAAAGGAGAAGGAAGTGCCAGGCTTCTGTTACAGGACTGGCTTTCATGGAATAGAGACTGGATTTAGGTCTAGGTTCCAGAGCAAGAAGGGCAATGTAGGTAGGTCTGATGGAACAGAACAGCTCCATAGAACCAGAGGACAGACCTGGGGGATGTGGAGGATTTCAATCTGCAGCTTCAGTGACCAACTGGAGGTGCCATATGTATAGAGAAGAGAAGCAAATTAAAACTCTGAGGCTTACAATGTCTGTGACCAAGAAAGTGTACATGCCATAAAAGCAGACAAAATATATTATAAGGGGTGCACATTTGGGGAGATAAGATAACCCTTCCAACTTGGAGATGAATATGGTATCTGCTTTAGCAAGAATATATCATGTTTATGAAAAGCGTGTCAAGATAAAACAATTCTCCAATCTTTCTTGCCTTGAATCAATACTTTTTTCGGAGATCAGGTGAATGAGACGCGCAGTCAAACCACCGCTTATGCCCGTCAACAGAAGTTATGAAGATAAATGTTTAGCCTGAAACTACCTCCCCGCGCTTAGTAAAGCTGGGAGGCTGATCCTTTCCATGGTCTCTGCATAAACCCAGTCGGGACCCGATCCCGATCCTGCGTGAGTACCCTTCCAGCTCTCAAGTTCACGTATCTCTCCGTTCTTAAACATGAGGTCAACATTCTATTTAGATGACTCCCCGCGTGAATCAGTACACCTGAGGCTCGAAAAACACTAAACAGTAGTAAAAATCAGTTTATGTTTCCTCAGAGCTTTTTTTTACTGGAATCGTTTAGTGGTGGAGATACAATGCATTCAATCTAACATGGTATTACTTGTTTGGCTAGGCGGGAGTCTGGTGGGTTTATAGGATACAGTGGTGAGAAGAAACCAGAGAGGGAAAGAGAAGTTAGGTCACCGAGTAGCTGGGAAGGTCTTTCATCAGAATAGGAGCCGTTTGCGAAGGGTGCATTGTTGTTGGCGTCACACCAATCAAAGGCCTCGAGGCAGTAGCGCCCAGGGACTGTGTCGTGTAGCGCCGTGACTTCAGGTGCTGCTCTCAGCGATCTCGCAGATTTTGTGTTTCTCAGATTCTCTGTCCCTGTGTTTGAGCTGGTTAAAAAGGTC